TAGCCGCTGTGAAGTATGCTCTTGTATCTACGTCTAGTCCAACAGTATACATGTGGTGCACAAGGTAAAAACCTTTTGTGGACTATATCTTCATCTTTTAATTAAGTTTATCACCAATTTTTTTTGTAATACTAGTGATTATATTGACCTCTTTACTTAGTTTTCTTATTTCATTAAGTCCTTGTTCTGTAAGGTGAGCCTTGTTTTTTACTAACTCATAAACTGTTACTCATTTGTCAAATGACTCTTGTTTTTTAGTTTTTAATCTAAATCTATAGATATATTCAATTATAAGTGGGACCTTAACAAATGAATTGCTTTCTATTCTATGCATAGTACCAATAGTACCTTTTTTAAGCTTTCTGTTAGTTAAAAACAGATTTAACTGGTCCTTTATAAAGAGCATATTATCCAAGCTATCTTTTTGGTCAATCATAAATCTTAGTTTAACTTGATAGCCTAAAGTCATAGATTTTCTTTTAAAAAGTGTAACATTAAAACAACCTTCTGCATCTATAAATCCTGACAGTCAACTATTATTTAGTATGGGAAGAACATTGTTATTTTTTTCTTCTATATTAACAGTATCTAATCATCTTTTTACTTGGACTTTTCTTTTATCTAAAACCAAGTTACCATTAAATAAAGAAATTAGAACAAGTATACCTTTTTTATCATCAACACGATAACGACTAAAATTACCGTATGTTCTAACCCTACCAATACCTAATGTTTCATGCACATGATTTAGTATAGCAGTTTCTTTTTGAGTTAGTACAAATACAAGACGTTTGTCTTTTCCTGTAAGAAAAGCACCATCACCTTCAGAAAACCCAATAAACCAAGTTAACCAATTGTCAGATACTTGATCAGAATTTTTATCTGATATTTTTCTATATTCATCAAAATTAAAAGATGTTTCGCGTGTAGTCTCTGAGGAGCTTTTGTCCGTTTTTGTATCCTTCGCTACTAAAAAAGAAGATGACACAAAACTAAAATTACCTGCTGATTGAGCATAGCCTATAAGATTTTCACTATTAAAAGTACTTATAGGCACTAAGCTGTTCCAGAATCATATAGCGAAATTTATTACCTTATAGTCACCCATAAGGAAAGCCAGCCATTGACTTCAAACTACAAATCCTAAGATACCAATAGAACACATAGCGTAAACCATACCAAGGTATCCGAACACGCTTTTGTTAGAGTTGGCAGAAATTGTAGTACTTATTATACCAAAACCTGGTATAATTAAAATGTAACAATATTTTGATTAAAGGAATAGCTGTGTATTATAACAGTCTTTTCTCATTAATACTCAAAAACTTTTATATTCTTGTTAGGACTTTATCTTAAGTTGTAGTATTTTCTTCATGACGGTTTATTAAAGATTTAATGATTAGTATTTTGGATAGCCCTTTATCTGTTAAGTGTTGTTTGTCTTGTATTAATCTATATACCTTTCTTCATCTTAAATAGCTTATATGCTTTCTAGATTGTAAGTGATATCGATCAAAATATTCTATAACCCTTTTAGCAGAACCGAAACTAGTAGAACCGTAATAATAGGTATCTTGAGACTTCCTATATCCAATGTTTCCACCTAAGTATTCTTTTATTATATTTAACAATAAAACACTTTTTTGATCTATTTGAAAATTTAATCTTATTTCCGGTTTATTTCTGGTAATACGTTTAATAATTTTTATTTGAAAACTAGCATCCGCATCAGAAAAACCTGCTAATCAGTGGTTATCAAAATTTTTACTTGAATCTATAGTAAAATGAATATTTTGATCTGCATACTTAGTATGACTTAATACATTATTAACTACTTGGTTAAATCTGTGTTCTGTTCTTAATTTACCATTTATCAAGTTAATTATATTTAACATACCCTTTTCATTAGATACAATTAAAAGGTATGCGTTTTTGTCCTTTACTTTTCTTACATTACCGTAACCTAATCTTCCTTTCAAGTAATAGGCTAGAAATGCATCTGGAGAACTAAAAGTTATAACTAATTGTTGAGCTTTACTAAAATGACCATCCCCGTCTATGAATCCTGCTAGATAATAACCTAATTGTTCATTATTTAGAGGCTTCAAATGTTTAGGAACGTGATCTGATACACGTTTAACATTTTCTAAATTTACTACAACTCCGTCGCGTAGAGCCTCTGAGGTTCCATTTTTTATATATAAAATGTTACCGGCTGATTTCCTTCATTGTTCTAACTTTTTTACTGTGCCATATAAGGAGGAGTATTTAGAACTATATAGCGAAGGGGTCCCAGCATACAGCGACGTTAAGAGGCCTACATTCGTAACCTCAGGATGTCCGAAGAATCAGAATAGATGTTGGTATAATATAGGATCACCACCACCTGCTACTTCAAAGAATGAAGTGTTAAAGTTTCTGTCAGTAAGAACCATAGTAATTCCCATTACTGTTGTTGATCTGCTGGATGAAATCCCATAGCTTAAAGTGTTATTCTTTAGCTTAAAAAGTTATTAAAACTTAGTGCAGATACGCAGACACTTTCATGCCTGATCGGACCATATCTTATATTTTTACGTTGTAGAATTTTTGTAAATGATCTCAAGTAAAATCAGTTCTGTAGTTGTTCATACCTGATTTGATATTTACTATTTTTTCCTTTCCTTTATCTGTATTATGCTCCTTTCTACCAAACATATCTACTACTTCCATTCAATCTAAGGAATCTAAATGTTTAGTTCCAAATAGAGGAAATTGTAAAAGATAATTTTTAGCATTAATATTACCTTTAAGGTTAGTAGTTCTAACTCTATACTCAGGTTTTGGTTTATCCGATCTTATTTTTTTTACTTCCGTTTCTAAAAACTCAGCAATATAACTTAAAAATTCTAAATTATCATATCCTTTGTGATCTTCTCGTCTTTGAGATATTTCTAATTTACATTCAAGTTTAGGATATTTACCTGAAAGAGTAGTTCTTACTTGAAAAGAAGCGTCTGCTTCTATAAACCCTGACAGCCATGGATTGGAATGTAAAGGCTCTATAGATACAGAATATTTTTCAATACTGGTTCCTTTAGTTTTATTTAAAAAATCTATTAATTCATTAAGACTATATATTTTAGGTGTTCTCATTTTTCCATTTATTAATGAAATAACGAATAAAATACCTTCATAACTATTTATAGTTAATATATAAGCATCTACCCCTTTTTTTCTAGATAATGAACCTACACCTAATTCTTTTTGAATAAGTAAAGCTAAAGGTAAATCTTTTAAATGAAAAACTATTTGTATAGAAGGATAATTTAACTTACCTTTAGGGGATCTTAAAGTTTTTGGTGAAATTATTGTACCATCACCCTCAATAAGCCCGGTAAGATAATAACTAAAGAGAGATTTATTTAAATTCTTACTATTATTATCAGTATGAATTGATCTAACCGTTGTACATAAAGGAAAGGTTAAAATTTCTAAACTACAACCAAAATATTTTGGCGTATAGCCTCTGAGGTTCTCTAAAAAGTTCAAACTTAATAAATTACCTTCTGATTGCGATATATTTTCATATAACGGTTCCCAGAATACAGCCAAATTTAGAGCCGGCAGAATAAGTTTACCGGCTAAGACAGGTAATGATAATAATAATAAAATAGCTGTAATAACAACTGCTCAAGCAAATAAGATTAGTTTATGTAATCTTATACCAGGACTTCTCATGTTAAATGTAGTTGTCATGACTAAAAATAGTTAAAATAATAACTATTTGTGGACTATATTTTAAGCGTATTAATATACGGTCTTTAACGTGTAGTCTCTGAGGAACCTAATGATAATCAAAATTACTTTTGTTTCCTGCTGATTAAGCATAGCTTACAAGATTTTTACTATTAAGTACTTATAAACACTGAGCTATTCCAGCATACAGTTAAAAATTTTATATGAATCCCATTACAACGTATTTTCTTTCACATATTCACATAAATATCCTTTATATGCTTTACCTAAATCAATGTGTTTAACTAATGTTACTTGAAAGTTTGTTAAATATCTTAAATATGTAAGAAATACATTGAATACTAAATTCGACGAGTAAAATTGATAAAGTAATTACACAAAACAAAAATTAGCCTTTTCGTGTAAATTTCTCTTCTCTATCTCTCTTTAATTTCAAATCTAGTTCTAAGAGAGAAATTTTTTTATACTTAGCTGAAGGCACAAACTCCTTGCTAAACTTGTATTTACCCAAATAGTACGTACCCTTTTTCAAATGTTTTTTTAAAGTAATATAATGTATTCCAACATGAAAAAAATCACTAATTTTCTTTGTATAAAAATACAAAATAGACTTATCCCTATTATACATATATAGGTATTTATTGCTTCTATAAGTGTCCAAAGGTGCAAATTTATTTTCAACATTAATCTTTACTCGTATCAACACGCTTTTTATTCATTGAACTCTTAATCATACTAAGTTTTTCAAGTCCTTCATTATTAAGATGTTCTTTATTTAACATAAGTTCAGAAGCCTTGCAGAAGTCTAAAAAATCTTCAGACTTAATACCCATAATAGGGTACTTTTTAAAAAATGGGATAATAATACTAGTGATATTCTTTAAATCCTCCACAACAAATTCACCTTTATCTTCTTTAAGACGAAGGCGGTAGTTACCACAACCTAGATAGCTAATTAAACTTTTTAATAAGTAGGTATCTCGACTGTGCTGGGGTATTAGAAATTTCAATAGTACTTGAGATCCTGTTTTAGTAGAAGAAGATTTAGCAATACGAATGAAAAAGCATGCTTCTCCAGATGCAAAACCAGCTAATCAATGAGGATCTTTAATTGTTTGCCCTTGCACAACAGGTCTTGGTCTAGGGATAACTTCAGGAAAGGCGGATTTTAATTGACTGGATAAACCTAAATTCAAAGAAGCCTTGTAGGATACAATATCTAAGATTCCCTCATAAGTAAGATGCTTTTTATCATTAACTAGTTTTACAATACTTTTAAATAGCTCAAAGTCCGCTTTTTTTTGAGACACTAAAGGATACATCTCGAAATGTGGTATTACCACATCCATTATATCTTTAATAGAACTTACTCTATATTGTAAACAGTCCTTACCTTGAGGTGCAATATCTCCTACTCCTCCTAAAGAATTTTTAATTAATTCCAACAATGCGACATCTTTTTTATGAAGACCGATAGCTAATCTCGCATCTACCCTTCAACCTGTTTTATTACGAGGTTCTTTACGAATAACTACTATAAATGAACCCTCTGCATCAATAAATCCTGTTAAAAAATTAGGGTTCAATTTTTGGTTTTTTGGGTTAAATTTTGTTGATTTGTCATTAGAACTAGATAGAATGAGAGTAGAATAGTATTTTTTAAACATCACACCATAACTTATAACTTTTATTCTAGTCATATTTATAAGGTGTTTAAATTTAGCAATGTATAGGGTAAGACCCAAATTCATAGCTCCTAAAAGGGAGCTTATACCAGAAAGGTGTAATCCAAAGATAGCTAAGTCCACACTTGGACCACTATGACTTTGTATACCTGATAATGGAGGGTAAAGTGTTCAACCTGTACCTACACCATTTTCTATTCCACCTGCAAATAAGAAAAGAACAATACTAGGTATTAATAATAAGTAACTTATATTATTAAGTCTAGGGAATCCCATATCAGGTCCTCCTAATCCTAATGGAAGTAAGAAGTTACCGAATCCACCAATTAAAGCTGGCATACACTTTATCACTAATTTTCATTAATGCGCGGACTATATCTTTACCTTTAAATAATAAATATTTACTAAGGTATTCACGTGTAGTCTCTGAAGATCCTACTCCATAAAAGCGTTTAATGCTACAATGAGCTAGTAGCATTAAAGTTTTATTTAGTAGTTCCCTGCTAGTTGTCTAATCTTTTAAGATGTTACTGTATTCTGCCGCTTTTCGTTTACCAATAGGTTCCGAAAGTCTGCAGTACTAGTTTTAAAAGCTCTAAAGATGTCCTAGCATACAGTGAAAAGAAAGTAAGGTATTTCTTCCTAACCCGGCCATGCCTTTTTTATATTTAATTCGCTTCACTCTTTCTTACTTTTTTTTTATATATCATGATATATAAAAAAAAGTTCCTCGGCGTCTTGTTTTGGTTTTTTTTTGAATTTTTTCTTAGAAAAATGAAAAAAAAAA